ATAGATAGATAGATAGATAGATAGATATAGATAGAGATAGAGAAGGATAGATAGAGATAGATAGATAGAGAGAGATAGAGAAAGATAGATAGATAGATAGATAGATAGAGAGATAGAGATAGATAGATAGATAGAGAGAAAGAGATAGATAGATATAGAGATAGATAGATAGAGATAGATAGATAGATAGATAGATAGATAGATAGCGATAGTTAGATAGATAGATAGATATAGAAAGATAGAGATAGATAGACAGAGAGATAGATAGATAGATAGATACATGAGATAGAGAGAGAGATAGATAGATAGAGATAGATAGATAGATAGATAGATAGATAGATAGAGAGAGAGAGAGAGAGAGAGAGAGAGAATATACATAAAAAAGCAAGTTTTGAAAAAAAAATATTAAAACCAATTTTTTTTTTCGTTTGGAAGTAATATTTGAGAAGGGAAGAGATATTAAAAACAAATAAGAAGCAAGTAGTGATTTACTAACCGAAGATCAGTTGTGGCACAAGGCCAAGATTAAGCAGCACCCAGTGAGGATCAAAGTAACTACGCAGTTGTAACTAAGCTGAGCAATACTAGTAGGCCTACCGTAGTCAAATATCAGAGTCCTGGGCATTATCCCATCTTGGATATATTTTATAGGAAATAAAGAGTCTTAATTTTTTTTTGTAAAAAACCTACCCCAAAATGGCGAGAAAAAACACTTATAACAAAATATATGTTAGGAAGATTTAGATACTTTTGTTTTTGTCCATTTTAATCTCTTCAAAAACATTCAGTCAGTCAGTTATATGCCATGCGTGATACACGCCTAGGCGATCATGTATCTTTCGATACATGACTGACAAAGTAGATTTTTTTCCTGCAGTAGGTTGCCATTTCTTTCTGCGGTAGACCAGTTGCCATCTAAAGCTATAGAACCCTGTCTGTCCTGCTATTTACCCATAGCTGGAGGGACAAGAAGAGGATTCATACCTTTCCCAAGAGTATTAGCTCGTAAGTGAATATCAGTCAGTTATGTGCCGTGTGAGATACACGCTTAGGCGATCATGTATCTTTCGATACATGACTCACGAGGAAGATTTTTTTCCCAAATGTAGGTTGTCATTTCTTTCTGCAGTAGACCAGTTGTTATCTAAGGCCATAGAACCCGGTCTGTCCTGCTATTTACCCATAGCTGGGGGGAGAAGAAGAAAATGAATGTAATGGATTCGACTGGAATTCGAACCTGGCTCCCTCCTCCTTAACTCGAAAACATTACCTGAGTGCAATACGACCACTTAATTTTGCGTAAAAAACTGATCATAAAAATTGCATTATATTCAAGTATATATATATATTCAAGTATATATATAAATATATATATATATTTATGTATGCATGTAGGGATACATGTATATGTGTGTGTGTACATATATGTATGTACATGTATGTGTATGCTTGAATGTGTATGTGCTTATGTGTATGTGCATATATATCTGTACTGTAATTATAGGTATGTATATATATGTATATATATATATATATATATATGTATGCGTGTGTGTATGTGTGTGTGTTGACACCTATCATATGTGAGCTTCTTTGTGCGTATTTGTAGGTATGTAAACTTCGGTTTATGTCTACAGGTGCGGGTGTATATATGTATATGTATGTGTATTTGTATATATATATATATATATATATATATATATAGGCTTGTGCATACTTATATATATATGTATATATGTGGATGTGCTGATATGGGTGTTTATATATGATTATATATATGTATATGTGGATGTATGTTCGTATGTCTTTGTATATCTTAGTGTCTTGGGATGTATAATCAATACGAACTAAAATCTACTTTTGTTTGATAAAGGTTTTTAAATTGCTTATAGACTTAATCAACAATTTTAAGATTATTATGGACTCTACTGTACTTTATCTTACTTATTATAAAACGCAGTGTGTGTGTGTGTGTGTGTTCGTTTATATATTGGATCGGATTTCCTACATTTTTCAACCGATTTCAACAAAATTTCACAGAACTACATAAAATTACCTTGCGGTGGTTCTGACGGTGCCAAAAATTGGAAAACACAATTGTTTTTGCACGAAATCAATTTGAAAACACGATTAAGAGGCATCGCTGTCGCCAGAATGAAAGGGGGACAACTCATATCGAGTTATACTTATTATAAAACCCAGGTTGTTTGTGTGTGTGTGTGTGTTCGTTTATATATGGTATCAGATTTTCCTATATTTTTCAACCGATTTCAACAAAACTTCACTTTTTTGGGGTAGTGTTTCTTATTGTCTTACACTTTTTCTTTTTTTTAACTTTCAGAATGCTTTAAAAATTCCATTTACAAGACAATTGTTTATAATAAAATTCTATTCAATCGGTAGACTCATAACGATTGAAAACAATGTTTTTGTTTTTTGGGTTTGACCAATTCATAAAAAAAAACTAAAAAACAAAAAAAAATATTAAGACATGCATGTCCGTCAACCTTAAACAATAATCTTTGTCAATTTTATTTTTCAGTCTTTATGATGGTCGATACTTGATCTATCTCTTATTGTTACATCCCCGGGCAACGCCGGGCTCTACTGCTAGTCGTCAATAAGATAATATTGTTAGAATATGTGTAGGTTTATATATATATATATGTATGGATGTGTATGTGTGTATCTATGTATATATGTGTGTATGTTTAAGTCTCCGTTTGTATGTGTTTTTATATATATGCGTGTGTTTGTGTATGTGTTTGTATATATGTATGTTTAAGTTTAGATATGTATATGTATACATACGTATATATATATGTATATATATATGTGTGTGTGTATGTATGTATATGTATGTATGTATATATATTTATATTTGGTTTGTTTACTTTTTTACGTTGCTGTGTAGGTTGATATATTTATGCTCTCTTCTGTATGTCTATATATGCATATGCGTATAAGTATGTGTGCATATATGTAGATATATATGTGTGTATGTGTGTATGCATGTATATGTATATATGTGTGCATATGTTTGTCTGTAGGTAGGCTTTTCTGCATTTCTGTCTGTTGTGAAGGTTGTGCGTACACTGTACACATATATCTGTAGGCAGTTTTAATTTTCTTTCACCTAATAAGGCGTATATAGACATATATGAAAAAAATATATTTATATATATATATATATGTGTGTTTGGAATTTTCGTTTTTTATATATTAGATGGTGTTATTTTTATACGTATATATCTATTTTAATGTCCTTTCTTTACCTTTTGTTTGTTTCTCTGTTCTATTGGACCATTTTTATCTATATATATATTTGCCCGTATAAATTATATTTTAATAAGTGGTTAGAATAACACTTTCAATCTTGAATATTTCTTGGTTGTTGTATCGGAGTGTCAAGTGTATGTACGTGTCTTTATCGGTGTCTATGTGTATGGTAACTTGGATGCACCTTATTTACATTAGTCGGACTATTGTCCTCATCTTTGTCGCCATATTTGTCACAACGTTTCGGCCGTTGTACGCTCCGGCCTTCTTCAGGTGGTTGGAATTTCGAACTGAACCCTTTATTTCGATTATTTCGGGTAGACTGTTCCACGTGCCATGTTTGACGGATGTCAGTTATCAGTTATCACCTGCTAATTTTCCCTTTGAATGTTCTCCACTGCCTTAACCAGGTATTGAACTCACCTTCTTTGGGTCTGTCACTGGATCTAACCAACGCCTTTATCCACTGTGCCATGTGTTCTTGAGTATGAACTTCTGAGTATTATAAACCTAATGTTAATGGTTAAGGCAGTGGAGAACTTTCAGAGGGAAAATTAGCAGGAGATAACTGATAACTGACATCCATCAAACATGACACATGGAACTAGAACAGTCTACCCCAGTGATCGAAATAAAGGGTTCAGTTCGAAATTCCAACCACCTGAAGAAGGCCGGAGCGTACAACGGCCGAAACGTTGTGACAAATATGGCGACAAAGATGAGGACAATAGTCCGACTAATGTAAATACTGTACATAATACCTCATCTCAGAAATATAGACAGACTTTGGATGCACCTTTCATTGTGTATGTATGTGTTTTTTTTTTGTTTTTTTTTGGGGGTCGTGGAGATATTTCCTGTCTCGTCACATTTTTGTGTGTGTATATATCTAAATATGTCTGCGTGCTTATGTATTATAATCTTAGTGTGTATGTATTGTCTTTTGCAAGATTTCATCCTCCCCTGCCTATGCTTAGAATTTAAATGTATCCATGTTGTCATGAAGTTAAGAGCAGTCGATCTTAACGTTTATTCCAACTTAATTTCAATAAAAAAATAAATAAATAGAATAAAATATGTATTTTTTTTCCTTTTTTCTTTTTTCCTTAGTAATTTTATAATTTTATACTTAATAGAGATTAAATTTAGATTTTAAAATGGGTAATTTTTAATTTAAAATTTTATCGTATAATTTAATACTTATTAGTTAGAATAAATTCTAATATACGTTAGAGAAACTTGACTTGCTTCGGACATGGCACCCTGTAGCAGGAAAACTGAAAAGGGGTATACTATTCATATGAACCATGCAAATGTTAGGAAGAAAAAATAGCTGAACTTTTTGAAAAAGATCTTTATCTATGCATTTTAATCAAACATGCATTCATGAAGGTCTGCTGCCTAAATGCATATTATATGTATGTTATTACCTTGCTTTTATTTTTTCTTGTTTTTCTTGTTTTCTTAGTGTTACTATTTCCTACTGCTGCTACTAAATTTTTAAATAAGATATTTTTCAAGAGATGTTAATTTTTCCCTCTTTCTGACTGCAAAAATTTGTGGCTTTTGTTTATTTTTATCGTAATTTGAAACTCGCTTTATTTTGATTGAAAATAAAATATGAATATTAGATTTCGTATATTTATTTAAAACTTTACCTTGAGGCCAAGAATTTATAATAAGCTAAACGAATAGATAAAGAGTCTGATGCCCCCCCCCACCTACCAGAGCATGGTGAAGAGTGTTAAGTTTTTTTGTAGATAGATAGATAGATAGATAGGAGAAAAGACTGAAATAGATAGATAGATAGATAGATAGATAAGATAAAAGACTGAGATAGGTAGATAGATAGATAGATAGATAGATAGATAGATAGATAGATAAGAGAAAAGACAGAGATAGGTAGATAGATAGATAGATAAGAGAAAAGACTGAAATAGATAGATAGATAGATAGATAAGAGAAAAGACAGAGATAGGTAGATAGATAGATAGATAAGAGAAAAGACTGAAATAGATAGATAGATAGATAGATAGATAGATAAGATAAAAGACTGAGATAGGTAGATAGATAGATAGATAGATAGATAGATAGATAGATAGATAGATAAGAGAAAAGACAGAG